TCACGTGAGCCAGTTTATCCCGTCACATTAAAAAAATATATATTTGTATAACACAAATGAACAACATAGGTCTATATGTCTTATGAAGTTTTGCACTTCATGCTTTATTATTAGTAGTATCTAGTTTCATTTTTTCTCTCAGGGTATGCCTGGAAGAGATCCCACGAAAGCGTCAAGGCCACCATTTGCCGTCATTTTCATTTAATTATGTCAATTGTATTATGTACGCAACGAAGTGTTAGTAAATAAATACATATTTTTTAACTATAGAAGAATTTATGAAGAGGCTTGTAATATTTTCTGCGAGTATCATCAGCAATTTGCTAGAATGTAATACAATCAGAATGTTCTTAGATAATTGAATAAAACTGCGGGTAGATAATTGAATTACTTTTATACGTAGGATATCCCTGTACCTAATTGTAACTTGTGGGTAATGTAATTTTCTCGATTTCTACTATTTCCTACGTATGTTTGAAGTGGGCATCGGAAATCGGGCAGACTATGAGTTGTGCTTGAGCTAGTATCAAATTGCTATTGCTATGGTCAGCCTCTGAAGCCTACCAAACCGAAATACTCATAGTTTTCGCCCCAGAGTTTCATGGGTTAATTTCACATTGTAGCACTAGGGTTTGGTGCGAAACATATTCAGTCCCGGTGTTAACTGTATAATAAAACTGATTTGAATAACTTATTCGTGATCTACAAATTAGATAAAGACGCTGATGATTTATTACTGTTTAGAAAAATTGGAATATACAGAGAAGGCCCTGGACAGAAGGAAGTGCTGGACAGAATGCAGAAGAACAAAGTAGTTCTTATGACGGTTAAGAAAAGGAAACTTGAGTATTTCGGATACGTTTTACGTAACTCCAAAAAATATGAGCTCCTTCAACTAATCATACAAGGCAAAGTGGCAGGTAGGAGGAGACCTGACCGCAGACGCACGTTTTGGTTGAAAAACCTAAGACAATTGTTTGGTCAAAACACCAAGTCATTATTCAGAAGCGCGGCATCCAAATTAAACTAGCCATGATGATCGCGGGAAGAAGAAGGGAAGGCTCAAAAAGGATTAAAGTGTCAACGGATGTATTAATAAAAAACGTTTTTAAATTCAGATTTATTAATCACACAGACCAACACGTGTTAAAGAAAAAAGGTTTGTAATCATACATGACAGGATATTCAACTTCTGGGAAATAAATTATGGGTTCCTTGCATTTGCAGGAGTCGCAAACGCCACAATCGCACTGGCTGTTCTGGACTTCACATTGGCAGATTTGGGTCTTGCAGGATTGGCAAGCTGGTACATTGTATTGGATATTTGATGGACATTGTAGAGTACAAGCTTCACGTCGAGGGCAGAACGCATTGATGTTCTGAAAGAAATAGTCTGGCGTTAGTCCGAGTTTAGTGTTGGGCTTCAACTAGTGAAACCATTGCCTCGGATGGACTAGTAAGTCGTTAATCATCAACTATAAAGTTTGCCTTACTGTCACACGCCAATGATTTAGTTTTAAAGTTTTTTTTAATAGAACATTTGACGTTAAGTGATACCGCTATTGACACTTAATGACAGAGGGCTCGCGAGTGCATTGCCGGCACTTTTCTTCAAGGACCCTCAGAATCTTCGGCAGCTGGTTCCACACATTGGTGTATAGATTTTATAAGATTAGAATTAGAGACAAAGTCACTGGTTCGAAGGCAGGATCTTTGAGAAATCTATTTAAACTATTAAGCTAACAATATTCATGAAACAGTATTAATCCCAATTATAAAAAAAAGTTTATGTATTTACTACTTCCTCGTCTAAAATTCGAACTAGAATATTGTAACACAAAAATTTGAAATTCGAAGCCGCAAAACCGCAAAGGTTTTAAAACAAGTGCTTTCAAAGTACTTACGTTGCACAAATATAAAATGAGAACAAACACAGCCTTCTTCATTTTTGCGGAATTATGAAAACAACGCGTTTGACCTATTTTTATTCATTTATATAGTTAATAGGTCTATTATTCAGCCATTGAGAAATAGTGTTTCGAAACGATTTATTTCTATTTGTCTAACAAATTTTAATACGATTATTTTATGCAGCCGTAGAAAATTAAGTATAATTATATATATATATATATGTTATTACGAAAAATGTCTGTACGACTTGAAGTCTTTGGCAAACGCGCTCTTCGCCGTATTCTTGGCATCTACTGCCCCGAGAAGATCTTTAATTCGTGCTTGCCTTAGAACTTCGACCGTGTCCTCCATGTACGGTTTAGGCACTCGCCCGGTACTGCACAACCCTCCCAAAGGCCGAGAACAAATTTAAATAAATATATGACATAAATATCGCTAACGAAGCGCGGAGACAGGGCGAGCCACTTGTTAAAATATACCGTCGAAATAACACGTACTTTCATTGATAAACGCCTTATAAATTGTTATTGAAATAATTCGTCTTGCGAAACTTCTGCCACAATAGCGAATCGTTTGGAATTATCGCTATTTGGAACTTTAAGATATTCAATATTGTAAGGTTCAGATGCTACCTGAGCCTTTATTGTAAGAATTGAGATATTTTATTATAAATTGTTAAATCGCTTTAGAAATACTTTCTAGAGCGGTTTTAGTACGAATTAATGGTCCTACAACTTGCTTTCTAGAATACTGGAATTGACTTTTGACCCTATACAAATCACTGGCACTACAAGCATTTGTCTTGATTTCCATATTTTTATTTCTAATAAAATAAAATAAAATATGTTTATTATGGAACATAAGATACAGGTGTGTGTGGTGAATGGTGTTATTCCACGTCATTAAATTATTAATCCCTATTCATCGGCAAAGAAGACAGAGGGTGTAGGCGGAGAGAAAAAGCCGGCGTTAAAAACTCTCGGTACTCTTTTAAAATAGCAAATCATCAAACAACACTTAATTTAAAACAAATATCGCTTTATATTTATTTATATATAATATTAATTAGAAGTAGCCTGTCTAGCACTAGTCCCAGGCCCTTTTATCAATTAGATAATCGTTAATTTTATAGCAAGCCTTTTTACACAGCTTTTCTATAATAAATTTATTGAATTTATATTCTATTTACCCTCATGCGCCAGGTATTCTTATAGCATATTTGTGGTGGCACCTTATCACGTTATGGACAAAAATTTCATTCAAAATCTCCAAAGAAACTGAAGCAGCTCTGTTGCCTTGGGCTTTGGAGCCGGTTTCTCGTGATCTTCAATATTAAGCCGTAAATGTTTACGTAGGCGCCATATAAAAATCCATAAAACTTGCGATGTGTGAAGAAATATTGACTTTACTCATAAATAAATTTTATGGCACACAGTTTATAAAAACTATAACTTTTCTATGATACACAGTTTTGAAAGGCGCTTTTAATGAACAACAAATAATTTTTTAATATATTTATTCAGCATTCTACATTTGAACATTTTTAAACTGCGTGATATTTACAAATTGACTTAATTCGTAAGCTTTTGGTAAGCAATTAACAGTGTACAATTAATGAAGTATAAACTGTCCTAATAGTACTGAGATCGAAATTTTCCAATTTCTACAAATATTGGTGCTAATCCTGACTTAATAAAGTATTAATTAACAATCAAAATCAACAAATTAAAATGTTTATATTGAATTGAATGTTTAATGAATTTCAATCAAATTAGCACCATTCAATTTGTCTAGAAAGAGATAGCTATACTTTACACAATCGCCGTTTCTCTTATACTTAATGTTCGAAGTCCATGTTCACGAATTTTGATAAAGCATAATTCGTGAACATGTTTATCGCTAAATACAGAGCAGAATAATTGTTGATAATTTCACAATTTCTTATAAATAAAAGCAATGTTATTTAAATAAGAAATTTTCAACTTTTAGCTATACACAGTTTTTAACACACATATATTTACAAGAAAAATAGTTTTTGAACAAAAGTTTTTGCCTTGGCACATTTTATCATTTATTGCTACTATTAAGATTGGTAGCGACACTAGGTGAGCCATCAATACTATGTTTTATTAAAGGACCTGGTTTTGATTAAGTAAATATCTCACTTGAGTGGAGACTTAACTAAGTATGACTTATAAATGTATTGAATTTGACGTACGGAAATCACGACGCTGAAATTGCCCCAAGGGCAAGAAAATTTATCGTTCTAAATGATTTTTTTGTAAGATGCAATATTTGTATAATTGGCACAAATGAACAATATTTTTCAATAAAATTTTAATCACAGGAAACTGTTCAATTTCTTCATTATATAATCAAAATAGCTTAATTTATAATACTATAATTCCAAAATCTATTAAGTTTATAAATTAAAGTTGTGATGTTTTTATTTTCTCATAATTTTAAATTTTATAAAAAATATAATTTATCGCCAGTACGGCAGTCTATAGAGAAAAGTTTTTTCTTGAAAGATTTATGTATTACGCCTTAGTTAAGTGGCTTCCATTACAAACAAGTAACTTTGACAAATTCAGCAAAGTTGACAGCTCGGATAAATTCGGAAGATTATTTCTAATTAATCAGATTTATACATTTGCGGGTACAACAATAATTTTTATGTACCGACATAAATATTAGAGTATGGATATTATTCTGATAAATCTTTGAAGATCGTATAAAAAAAAGTTCCCAAAATACATTCTTAAAACGTGAATTTAAATAGATCAGTCGTGCTTTACTTTAAAGTAGTGATAACATAGAAACTAACCGAGTATCAAGAATAGCATTTGTAAATATGTATTTATAGTTTAGACAAGCTCATATCCAAATAACTATTACAAGAATCTATAAGCAATAATCAAATTAGGAGATTTATTCTAACACAATGTAAATGCGTGTAGGACAAGCGGACAACAGACTTCCTTTTAACATAATCAGCGAATGGGCGTACAACGAGATTCTTCAAGATTCACTATAGTCTGCAATCCGTGCACAATAGCCTTTATACCCAGCCTAATAAGGAACTTTATTCAAGCATAACTTTGAGCATGCTCCAGTGGAATATTCGACAATTTACTCCCCTTGTCCACCCAATTCTTTAACCTCCCCCTCAACTCTTCTAAGCTCTTAGATTTCGCCTTATTTATCCTCTTGTATTTCACATCTTTCGGCTTCGTTACATTCCTATGATTCGACATCACTCTGTTGTACGTAACTACATGCGTTGACTTAGGCTCTGGGTCTTCTTCGTCGGTTTCAGCATTGGAGACTTCTTCATCCGATTCATTTGCAGGCATCATCCTCTTTGGCACATAAGTGTAGGCCCAGGAATCCGAAGGCTTAGGTTTCTCCTTATCACTATCTATACTTTTAACCTCCGCAGTAAGAACTATACTTCTCATGCGGAAGTTATCACGTCGTTGTGCAAGAAGACTGCCTTCCTTCGTTTTCTGTTCATCAGTTTTGTTCGCGTCTTTTAAATCCTTTTCTGTGCTGTTTTGAGCACTTAGGGCCTTTGTGGATTCGTTGTCTGCTTCTTCCTCAACACTGTAGACGGTTTCCAGAATTTCCGGCCGACGCAAAAAGCCGTTGGAACGCCTGGCGTTGTATTTTAGGTTTGGATCTATGGCATCTGAGATCGATCGAACGACGGTAACGCTGTCTGGGTTCATGGAACGGAACCTTGGTAGGTTTGAAATATTACAACAATCGGAATCCACGTCTTCCATTATTACAGCGGAATCGGAATCGTTTAGGGAGTCAAAGTCTCCTGTGTTCGAATCAAGAAGCATGTCCCTAAAATCCGGAATGGGTTGCATGGTATCAATACCATTATCAAGAAGTTTAGCTTGAAGGGATTCGATGACTTTCTGCTGTTTCATGATGATGGTTTCACGAAGAGCAAGCATATTGGTTATCTCTTTCTGCTTACGAACCAGACGAGATTCGAAGAGAAGAAGTTGGCCGGATAGCATTTTTAACTGCTCGGCTTTCTCTATTTGCAGACGATTGACTAGTTCCTCTTGAGTACGATGCGCTCGACGCCATGTTAATAGCTGATGCGCCTGCGCACGGTATTTCATACGAAGATCTCTGAAAAAAAAACACATTGGTTTCAGTCTCGCTAATTTAAAATTTAAACTAAATATATATGAAGTATCTTAAGCAATACATATTAACATTACGGAATTATGTACGCGATACAAAAAATACACAATTCTTCAAGTGATTTATAATTGAATGCAAGTCCTGTTTTCTTTTACCTTTTGTGAGCAAAGTGAGTGAGCTAGTCGATGTTTGAAAAGTACGTATCCATACGTGGGAAAATGGAGGGAAAACATTACGCTACTATTCATGCTACACCTGAATAGAACCCAGGAAGAAAGGGCTTTTATATTAAATGAAATCCACTATCCACAAAATGAATTATAAATACACTATTTTAATACAGTAACAATTTGATAAAAAAAAAGTTATTGTTGGAAAATATATTAATAGAGACTGTAAGTTTTGGACACTTTCATTAGATTAGACTTAAATTACTTATTAGTCTTAAGTTAGGCTAGATCGTAATGTTAAATGATGCAGAGGAAATTTATGTTGAAAAAAAGTATTAATATTAGTATATTAATTAAATAATTGCTTCTTTACAATAGAAAGATGGCTTCTGTAGTTTTAATTGATAAAATAAATAATAAAATTATAGCACAACAATACACAATTGTTTCAAAAAGGTTTAAAAACCGACGTATTTAAGGTTTTTTTATTATTGTGGTTTAAAAAATAACGATGATACAACCATACCTGATGGTTCTCCTAGCTTCATCGAGGGTGTGGGCTTCCAACGGATCCGTTATGGAAGCCGCTAACGAAACATCCGGTTCCGTCGGACTGTTCAACGCCGACTCACTTCGGCTGAGGGCAAAAGAAAAATGACTGTTAAAAAAGAAACTAAATTTAAAAGACGTTCTATATTATGAACATTTTCGTATTAGTTTTAATTTATATAATTTGGCTCCACGTTGGTTTGACATGATAAGAAGCTGACTCCAAGGCTACAAATTCAAATTAATTTATTCATTTAGGTAACACAATGTACACTTATGAACGTTAAAAAAGAAATACTGTATATTAAATGCTGAATGCTTCTAATTTTACATTTACTGCCAGTTCTCAACCTAGGGCGTAGAACGAGAAGAACTGGCAATAAACTCTCCGCCACTCTTTTTAATCGCCAACTGGTTTGTTTTACACAATGTTTGTAGTAGACAGGATCACCTACACGTCTCAACATGAAACGCCTAACCACTTACTTGACTTCAAGCGTCTTTTTACGAAAAGTAATGTTTACGTTAATTAGTAGAAACTCGGTTTAGTTAATTAGTACGCGGCTGGCAAGTGATGGGGGTGATAAGGGATATCAAGCTTTTGTAAAGTACCGGTAATTTATAATCTTAATTAATGAACCAACTCGGAGTCGTTCTTTAAATTATATCTAATGCTAGATTAAAAATTATAATCGTTAAGGTTAAACTCAGCTACGTAAATTAATTCTAAATGAATTTATGCTGAATTTGTTCAAATAACTTTTTCAAAAACAAATTTAACAGATAAGAACCGGTCGTAAATGTTACGAGTCGTACTGTTGACTGCCTGCTATTATTAAGCATATTAATAACAATACTACAAATAATATACTCTGCTAACAAAATACACTTAATATTATTTTGAGTTAAAAAATATATATTTTCTTTAACGCGAGGCGTTACAGATTTGGTTTCAATGGAGTGTTTGTCACGCACTACGCCTATTTTATTACTATAAAAAGCCCAAAGCAAAAATTTATATAGAATACTAAAATTCTATAGCTGCGAACTTCGTTTCGCTTTAATATGTTTTTTTTTACTTAGCCCACTTTAAGTAGCTATTTACATACTAAAATATGGAACATTTTTCTATGCCCCATAGAGACTGTTCACGGAATAAAAAACCGAAGTACAAAATAAAACTAAATTTTTCATTTTTTTTTTCAATTTATATTCAAGTTAAAGGAATAAATAATAAGAAATACTCGCCATTACCATTTTATTTACAAATAAAAAATATGGGTTGATCGTAAAGGGGTGAAAATGTAGGGATGTATGTCTTTTTTAATGCCACATTATAAAAAAATATATCGAAAAAAATAAAAAAAATTGTTTTGGGGTGGGCACCTCATCACTTAGGGGGTTGAAAAATAGAGTCCCCCCCCCCCCCCCCCCCCCCCCCTTTTTTTTTTTTTTTTTTTTTTTTTTTTTTTCTTCTTTTTTCCCTCTCCCCTTTTTTTTTTTAATACTCCCCCTTCCTTTTTTTTTTTTTTTTTTTTCATCACCCCCCACCCCCCCCCCCCCCCCCCCCCCCCCCCCCCCCCCCCCCCCCCCCCCCCCCCCCCCCCCCCCACCTACCCCCCCCCCCCCCTTTTTTTCAAGCCCCCCCCCCCCCCCCCCCCCCCCGCCCCCCCCCCCCCCCCCCCCCCCCCCCCCCTTTCCCCCTGCCCCCGGGTCGGCCTTTTTCTGTGGCCCGGGCCCACCCCCCCCCCAGCCCCCCCCCCCCCCCCCCCCCCCCCCCCCCTTCCCCCCCTCCCCCTTTTCCTCTTTTTTTCCCGACCAATTTTTTCCTTTGGCTGACCCGGGCCCCCCCCCCCCCCCATTCTATCAGGGGCTCCCCCCAAAAAAAGGGGGGGGAAAAATTTCCCTTTTTTTTTTTTTTTTTTTCCCTTCTTTTTTTTCCCCCCCCTTTTCCTCCCTTTCCTCAAAACCCTTTTTAATTCCCCTTTCTTCCTCCCCCTTTTTTCCCCCCCCTTCCCCCCCCCCCCCCCCCCCCCCCCCCCCCCCCCCCCCCCCCCCCCCCCCCCCCCCCCCCCCCCCCCCCCCCCCCCCCCCCCCCCCCCCCTTCTCTCCCTCCTCCTCCTTTTTTTTTTTTTCCCCCCTTTTTTTTTTTTTTTTTTTTTTTTTCTTTTTTTTCCGTCCTCCTTTTTTTTTTTTTTTCTTTTTTTTTTTTTCTTTTTTTTTTTTTTTTTTTTTTTTCTTTTTTTTTTTTTTTTTTTTTTTTTTTTTTTTTTTTTTTTTAGTAGCCGATTCTCAGACTTGAACTGAATATGCATAAATTCATAAGAAAGATTCATAAGAATCGGTCGACCCGTTTCGTAGGAGTATGGGAACGAACATTGTGACACGAGAATTTTATATATTAGATATATATAAGCATAACTATGCAAATAGTATTTTATAATAAATCAAAACATTTCCATAGAATCGTATACGAAGTCTGCTACCAAGAAAGCGCAATTTCTCCCGTCGTCTATTGTTTCTGACATTCAAATGAGGTCTGTCGGAAATTGAACCCACTTCGGAGAGTTATTGTTCATAGCATTCAAACTATTGTCTTGATATTTTTTATTTGCACGATGCTTTTAATTATTATTGCTGTTTCTTTTTCAAATACTTCATTGTTTATTAGTTATCAAAACAATTAAATATACAGTATTTACTAGTTTCTTAACCTACATTGTAATAATAAAAATAATTAAAAATTAATAATCCGAAAATTAAAACAAATTTACAAGTTTAGTCCCTGTGGCAGTGTCCCTTTAAGGCAGCATGGGGTCACCGGTAGGATCTACCTTAAATCTTTAAATAGCGCCCGGGGGTTTTAAACCCCCCGGCCCAAAAACCCCCCCCTTAAAAAAACCGGAGATGGAGGAAAGGACTAAGAAAAGACAGATCTACCTAACTCGGAAGAGGTCTTGTTTTGAGGATCATGACAGGGTCAGATACAGAAACGAAAGAAAGACAAAGAAAGCTGTCGAGGTGGCACCTGTTGGTTCTCGTAAACCATTGTAAGACCCTGATTTTGATGAGGATGAATCAGAGATATCGGTGCAATCCAGTGGCGAGAACATAAAGGAATAGGGACTTGAATAATCTGAGAATTGAAGCAGTTGCTTTGAAATCAGGTAATGCAAAGGAGCTGAGAGCTGCAAGTGAGGGACACAAAGCAGCTAGACGAGTTTCTTTTTCTACAAAATTACATAGAAGAAATTCTTCGCCTACAGTCTAAGTACAAAAGCGGACTTGAAGAAATCTAAAAAAATAAATAACTTATGCGCGGAACTTCATTCCCCATGTAAATAATGGTTAAGAAATAGTTAAATACTCTCAATTATTATTACTGGCAGTTCTCAAATCAAGGACAACTCAGCTATATCAAAAATATGTTAATATATACGTAATGTATATATTAACATTTCAGTTTTTCCTGAAGGTAAAATTCAGTACAGTATCAAATTCAAATTTAATGACGTGGAATAAGTGATACATGTATCTTATGTTCCATAATAAACATATTTTATTTTATTTTTAATCCCCCTAGAACGCGGTTGTTGGAGTACTTTTGTAAAACTGTTTTTTTTTTACGATTATTCTAAATCTAGGAACACGAATTTAATTAAGTCATTTACTTTAATTTTATAACACAATTTGTTTCAATTGTGCAACAAAATAGTGCAGATACGCAAAACCATTTGGACTTGACAAATCATTATAAATTTTCTACTACAGAAATATAACTTGAGAAATCTTCGCGGTATATGAGGGACGGAAAGCACGTTTAATTGGAAGAAACAAAAAAAGACACCTCGAAGATACTAAAAACATACAAGTCATATAAAAGTAAAATTATTGGAGTCAGTCAAAAGCGAAAAGGAATCATATTCGCTCTTCTTAGGGCTATAATCCTTTGTACATGAATGCCTGGATTCTCTATGAACATGAAACACGGAACAATATTGTATGTAATATTCATAAAGGCAACGCTAAGTTGCCAGATATCTACAGCTTTTGATTGATCCAAGTCACGAGAGCAATTTCAATATAAAAGCATTTTTCTTTCACTATTGTAACTAAAAACATTTGTCTCTTTCAGACGTGTTTTCGTTGTGATAAAAAACGCATGCAGTACAACTTAGAAGAATAGTGTCTTTCTTGTCTTGGGAGAGTCTTGGAAAAACCTTGAAGTTGGATAAAAAAGGTTTTAGGATATTTTAAGGAGGTAAATGGTCTCGACAGTACATATACAGTAAAATTGTTACAGTTTTTTCTGAACTATAATTTAAAAGTATGTACGACTTGTGTACTTAATATTTTATTGTATATCCTTTTTAAGCCTTAATTTTATTTATTAACACTACGCTGCAAGTAATACAGTACAGTTAAAATAATTGAATAAATAGGAGGGCAAGGGCTGGTAGCCTTATCGCTAGCGGATAGGAACGTGAACTTAATTCCATAGAAGTGACGACTTCTGAGACCTTAAAGGATTCGCCAAGTTTTAGGCTCCAAAAAATGTAACGTTTTGAAATGAGAAGAAGTTTTAGGATTTAAAAGGATGAATTATAAGAGATGGAGAACGGGAGAGAAGATTTTTTTAGACCGAATATAAAACAGGAATTTCGGAAACCATCCAGCTTGCTATTCCTTTAAGCTTTTGTAGTAAAAAAGTTATTTTTCCTAGCGATAACAGTTAAAATTGACCGCCGATTTCTTATGACTTAATTCAGTTGAAGCCCGTTATTCTGTGGAGCCATAACTCACCAACATCGTGCTCGGTGTGAAATAATAACTGTCTTATATAAATGCTCTTAGAATCTTAAGCCCATATTACAAAACGTGACTTAAGTAAATCTAAGTTTAATATTGGTTTCAGAAACGTTGAAGCAGTGTTGGTCTAGTGGCTTCAGCGTGCGACTCTCATCCCTGAGGTCGCAGGTTCGATCCCCGGCTGTGCACCAATGGAGTTTCTTTCTATGGGCGTATTTAACATTCGCGCGAATGCTGAAGGGAAACATCGTGAGGAAACCTACATGTCTCAGGCACTGGAGGCTGATCACCTACTTGCCTATTAGATTGAAAAATGATCATTAAACGGATTCAGAAATCTGAGGCCCAGACCTAAAGAGAATGTAGCGCCACTGATTTTATTTATTTTTTCAGAAACGTTTAAAAAGTAAACATAAAAATAAATCAGTGGCGTCATTTTATGCCTAGGCCTGTTCTGTATCTAAGGCAAGCCAGTTCCACGATGTTCTCCTTGAAATACAGTCCATTGGTGCATAGCCGGGGATGGAACCTACGACCTCAGGGATGAGAGTCGTACGCTGAAGCCACTAGGCCAACATTTCTCTTCAAAAAGTAGACATTCTTTATGAAAATAATAATATGGATTCCGCACCGAAGCAGATGACTTTGAATTTGTTTATAAGGTACCAACGAAGGGCTATGAGCCCAGCGGTCTTATTAAGTGGCAGCTAGGTGAGGGATACCGGGTTCGAGGGCAAGTTTTAATTGAATTTAAATTTGTTCTCGGCCTTTGGGAGGGTTGTGCGGTACCGGGCGAGTGCTTAAACCGTACATGGAGGACACGGTCGAATTTCTAAGGCAAGCACGAATTATAAAAATCTTATACTTGACGCTGGCTAATGCACAAACCGTGCCAGAGCCATAAAGGAAAAAAAAAGGTACCAACGGCTGTTTTATTTTTGTATAGACAATATTATTAACTTTCCTTCAAGAAAAGTGTAGTCCGGCAACGCACTTGCGTCTATAAATGAGTTTCCATGAACACTTAACATCAGATGAGCCTCCTGCCCGTCTGCCCCCTGTAGCAAGACGGTGATAAGCCTGTGGCTGACAAATCATTTTTGTTTTCTAAACATGCCAGTTTTCTCACTATAGTTCTGTAGCGACACCTTTGATCTGTTATTCCGGCTACCGATTTAACCACTGATAGGTCCTGGCAGTGGATAGACCTTTAGAAGGAAAGAGCACAACATCATTGCACCACATTTTACGAAAAATCCAGCTGGAGTTTGAATGTCACGCCATGCCTTCTTCAAAGTTGCGCTGAAAGCTTAAGAAATCAATAGGCTAACCAACGGCTATTATAACTGACTGAATATATTATTATAAAATCGATCCCGTAATGAAGGTTCGATAACTGTTGCAACTGACTTTAAATATCAGTTTGATTGTTGGATAAATGATTTCCAGCGCGTGTGTAAGTGTATGTTGGTCCACAAATTTCAAGCTGAAAGTCATATAGAGATAATTCTTTATTAATGATTTAAATCCGGTAACAAACATATGTGGTCAAAGTTTTGAGATTTCCACGCATGCCCCTGAGAAGCGTGGTGTCTGAATCTGGGAGTGCAGAAGACAAGGACATCACTTGACGTATGCCAAGGCTCAAGCAACCTTTGCACTGAATCGCAGTGACGGAAGGTATAAACCTCAAATCTATGCTAGTATATGCAGATCAAGCGACGTAAGTGGAACTGGATAGGCAATACTGTCCGAAGAGATTTCAATCATATCCCGTAGCAGCTTGATTGGAACCCGCAATCCTGGCAACGTACAGATGCAGATGCGGCAAAGAGAGCCGGAGAGACTTGGAGCGAGATAAAATAGAAAGCTCAAGACCGAACGCAATGCAGACGTTCTCTGCCCCATAGGACATCATTTTATTAAGCTATCGCGTAATATGCTTAAAGCAGAATTAAGAATATCCATAGCGCTTAAATCACCTGCATCATGAGCATACCCATACACACATTCACGTACACTCACTTTCACACCATCACACAACACAGCCAAATTAGCTTTTTATATATATTATGTATTCCATCTTCGGCTATATGTTTAGTTTAATTGTTTTTTGTTGTATACAATTTTTAGCTATTTTTTTTGTTCATTATAATCGGAAACAACGGATTTATCATATATTTTATAAATTTATCATATATTTTATATATTTATTCATATATTTTATATATTTTTATTATTTCTTACCGTTTCTTCCGGTTTTCACTGATAAAAGTCACAAGCGAACCCATCGATACACATATTAAATTAAACTGAAACAAAACCTCTTTCAACAATAATAAACGACAATGTGAGGGACCCTCTTTTAAATTTTTAAGCCAGGAAGTGTTTTGTCCTGCTCCAACACGTACAACTAGATAGGGGCAGTGGTATAGAGGAATCAGTACAGTTAGCTACAAAACTTATGGGGGCATTTTTAATGACATTAACTTTACACAGAGACGATTAAAAGGGTTTTATTTCAGTCTTTTAAATACGTAAATTATAATTTAATAATGCCCATTTTTCTTTAAATCAACGATGAAATGTCAAGTAAATAATCCAAAATATTTGAGAAACAAAAAAGCATTTTTAAATATTCAATTTGAGTTTTATAGACATAATATGGAATAACCATACTATAATATGGCGCCGTAGAACTAGGTGGATAGATATAGATAGTTACAGGAAATTTGAAATATTTGCTGACTGTACACGACAGTTCCGGTCGAAGTAACACCGTCGCGACTAAGAACAGGTGGTGATCGAGTTCCGTTAACACATGGTAACAACTGTACGTTTAACCGACAGTAAAAAAAGGAATCAGAATTGGCTAAAGTTTTCAAATTCCTCTATAGTAACCGATCGATCATCGAACTATCCATATACGTGCTTGTACGGTAAAAGCTGCAAATGTCTAGTCTATAACGAAATATTACCAAAAAAAGAACTTGCAATAGTGACAAATAGGGGTAATCGGGCAATCGGGCAGATGCCTGATGTTAGGATAGAATAGAAGATACTCTCAATGGCAGAGGGCTCGCAAGTGCGTTGCGTGTTAAAAATTGGTTACACTTTCTGAAGGACACTATACTTCAGTGGGCAGCTGGTTCCACATAGTTTCCGCAGCAAAATCTGACAAAAAAACGCTCAGTGGAACTCTGCCTCGATACAGTACAAAACTTCAACATTAGAATTCGATCGCAATCGAATTAGGTCTTCAACGAAACAGCGTACCATTGCATAAAAGGTCGGCAACATACCCCCTAGCCTCCAGCCTTGAAGGTGTTGTCAGACGGTTGCCACTTAAGGACCTATCCGGTCGCCAAACTCCAAAAAAGTACATTGTTTCTTTCCATTTTTCGTCGTCATTTCTTGAAGTAGGGTGAATGGAAAAAATTTATGGTGGAGTTGATTAGTTTATGTATCCATTTTAAAAGATCGATACACAATTTAAATAACCTGGTTCGATATAAAAAAAATCCAAACATAGCCAATTTTTGATACTTAGAATTCATTTTATGACGGAAATGTGTAAAGAAAAAATTTTGAAATTTACACGATATATTTTATTGCAAGCCAAGTAATCCATTTCAGAAAAAAATTTGACAAAATTACATTAATTTAATGTTTTACATAACTAATTATTATTACGGGCCGGCGCGCCTCAGTGCTCCAGCTCTCCACGGCGTACCGCAGTCCACCCCGAGACACTGACACAGCAATTCGTGCTGGGATAGGGCCTTAATTCAAAGGGACCTTCGCCTTCTCCTACCTATAATCGCTATCACTATTTAGGAGTTACGTACATCTCTTATTACATTAACCACTTCCACACTCATCTTCGAGCACTTAAATCGGCAATAAGGATTTCAAGCAATCTCTTCCAGGCAAACAAATAAATAAAATGAATAAATCAGTGCAGATTTCCGAATATGTTTCATGATAATCTGTTAATCTAATAGGCGATCAGCCAGCTGTGCCTGACACACGCCGTCGATTTTTTGAGTCGGCAAAGGCAAGCCGGTTTTCTTACGATGTTTTCCTTCACCGTTCGAGCGAATGTTAATTGTGCATATAGAAAGTCCATTGGTGCACAGCCAGGGATCGAACATACGAACTCAGGAATGATAGTCGCACGATGAAGCCACTAGGCCAACACAGCGAGGACTTAAGGAATTACTCAGATAATGGTTAGGAAATGTCATTTAATAACTAATTCTAGAAGTATGGAATGTATTTAACTTCCTCCGGAAGCTGGGAAGAGTGTATTAGAAGCCTTAATACTGTATTCCGGTCCTATAATTTAAACCGGAAATTCACCTGCATGAAACTGTTTCAAGTTTAAGCCAGCATTGGTCGCGTTGAAATACGATTAGTTTTTTTTTATTATTTACTTATTTCGTAATACTACAGCTAACATAAACTATATATAACAATAAACAATTATATTAAATATATAGCCAAAGATGGAATACATGATAAAAAAGTTCAAATAAAGGAAAAAAAAAATAAAAATAATAAATACATCTAAGTAATACCTAATTCGGCTGTCTTGTCTGATGGTGTGAAAGTGAGGGTACGTAAGTGGGGTGTGCTCATGATGCAGGTGTTTTAGGGTTATGGATATTCTTAATACTCCTTCTAAGTATATGCCGAGATAGCTTAAACAAGTCAAGGCTTAAATGTTGCATGTCCGGGCTGCGCGATACAAAACTGAGTATTTCGCAGGTGAATGTGTGCTTTACACGAGTACTTCACATTTATATAAAATTTAACGAGTTTTTGTTATTCAATAGCGTTGTTCCATAGTGACGGTGATTTTTTGTATGACAGTTCCATATAGTTCTCTCCCTAACGCTGATGTCGCAACCTTGGAAACGCGTATCAAACTGCACATTGTAGTACTGAGATATTGATCAGCTTGAAAATTCTTCTTCAGCCGCGCTCCTCACTTCTGAAGGTCGTGATATTGGCGCCGCACAACATCATCCACTCCTCCCTTTCTCGGCAAGCCTCTACGGCTCGGCCTAAGACCTGTAAGAGCCCTTACTTGATTGGTCCAGCGAGTAGGGAATCAGCTTCGAGGTCTGGTGCCCTCCACTCAGCGATAACTTTTACTAAATAGTTTGAATTTGTTGTATTGGAACACCAATAGCTGCTCTAACTTCACCTGCTCTATATTCACACTTCAATACAACTTTTGGGAAGCTTAAAATTTCATCCCCTCAAGCCTTTTCTGTAGGGTTACCATTATTTAAGATATATTTTTATAGAACAGGGGCAAACGGGCAGGAGGCTCACCTGATATTAAGTAATACCCATGGACACTCTCAATGCCAGAGGGCTCGCGAGTGCGTTGCTAGCCTTCGAAGGTTAAACAACGAGCATTTTAGCCTTGTTTACTCTATCCTCTGCCAGAATAATGCCAGCTATAGTTTTGTTTCTGAGTTAGCACTCAGTCGTATAAAGAAAATCATCTGTATGTCACAAAAATAACTTACTAGCTTATAAAAAACAGAATTTTGAGCTTAAAACAAAGGGTTGTAGCGCCCACTATTGAAAGCTTAACATATACATAGACAAATCGCATACAAACATCACGTTCCTCACATCAACACCAAGTATGCAAAAAAAACTCTGTTTTATATCGAGCAGCCCGGAAATACAACATTTAAGCGTTGACTTGTTTAAGCTATCGCGGATTAAGCTTAAAAGGAGTATTAAGAATATCCACAGCGCTGAATCACTTGCATCATGAGCACACCCCACACAGCCCAGCCGTACATACCCTCACTTTCGCACCATCACATAGGACAACCGAATTAGATATTACGTACTTAATCATTTTTATTAACGTTTATTTCAACCTTGATGTATATATTATGTATTTCATTTATGGCTATATCTTAATTATAATTGTTATATATAATTTATGTTAGCTGTAGGATTACGAAATAAACAAATACTAAAATGTTAGTAAATTATGGTCACCCAGCGAAATAAATTATGTAGCGTCTGCAAAGCTGCGGATAAGCGGGGACACCTTTTTGCCGCAAGGACGTTTGTTAAAGCAAAAACTATTTCAGGGCTGACACGATAAAGCTATTGTCAAGACAGTTTTTGAAAGTAGCTGTCTTTCTAGGTAATATAATATAAGGGAGCGTTCAAGTATTACGTAACGAATTTTCGACTTTCCAGTACTTTACACCAAATAATAGTAACTTTTAGGTATAAAGAGTCACTAGGTGGTCACGAAACGTTTTACTATACTTGGGTACAGAAAAACGTTGCGGCGCGTTACAGGGGGGATCAAAAAGGAAACTTGGTTAGGGGGGCTGGATAAGGACCCAAACCGAACCTTTTTTTTTTTTTTTTTTTTTTTTTTTTTTTCCCTCCCCCTTTCCCCCCTAAAAAGTTTTATTTTTTTTTTTTTTTTTCCCCCCCCCCTCCTTTTTTTTTTTTTTTTTTTTTTTTTTCCCCCCCCCCCCCCCCCCCCCCCCCCCCTTCCTTTTTTTTTTTTTTTTTTTTTTTTTTTTTTTTTTTTTTTTTTTTTTTTTTTTTTTTTTTTTTTTTTTTTTTTTTTTTTTTTTTTTTTTTTTTTTTTTTTTTTTTTTTTTTTTTTTTTTTTTTTTTTTTTTTTTTTTTTTTTTTTTTTTTTTTTTTTTTTTTTTTTTTTTTTTTTTTTTTTTTTTTTTTTTTTTCCTCCTTTTTTTTTCCCCCCCCCCCCCCCCCCCCCCCCCCCCCCCCCCCCCCCCTTTTTTTTTTTTTTTTTTTTTTTTTTTTTTTTTTTTTTTTTTTTTTTTTTTTTTTTTTCCCCCCCTTCCCCCCCCCCCCCCCCCCCCCCCCCCCCCCCCCCCTATCTCCAAAAATTTCGTGACGTAATACTTGAACGCTCCCCAATTCCAAATCCTTACTACTTCAATAGAAGAGCGTAGTACCCATGCAGACATGCCTTTCGGTCCCATAAAAAACCCATCTGGGTGATACGCCTAAAAGAAGAAGGTCGGAGACTGATTTTGTAACCCTCCTGGTGGTGCAGGTGTTCTATGAGGCGGATACCCGGCAAACGAACAGGCCGGGGCAGTTCCTGTCCCATAAAAAACTCATCTGGGTCATTTAGTCAAAAACAAAAGTGCGTGCGTACAAAGTACACATGTCAGAAGTGAAACTTCTTTGTAAATTAAATATTGAGTAATTAAGCTGCCCAAATCCCATAATTTAAGTTTGCCAGTCTGTCTATTAATTATTG